CCCCGGGATAATCTCTGCGCTGTGAGCTGGGCCAATTGATGAAATCTTATCTTTATTGTGACAGCCATGATCCCGTTCCCGGGACTAATCATGAAGTATGGGCCAATAACAAACTTCGGTATCCCGGAGTTAACTTTCATTAGGGCACTCAAGTTGTAGTCATATAAAAACGTCAATCTAAACTTAACATGGATTTATTGTCACCATGTTGCTAAATTCTTGGTAACTTCTGACATGGGCCTAGTTTTGGGGAATGTATAACCTTTTCCTAAACTATTTTAAGGATTTTGGGCCCATACTGTTAGGTCGAACTTGGACCGGGTTGCGTTTAGAAATCCTCAAGAGGCTGTGGGTTTCCTTTAGTTTACTTACAAGTACTTCGTAAAGTTACAGTTTGTTGTTAAAAATGTAAAAACACGTTTAATGAGTTCTTCAAAATACAAATAGGTTCTTATTTATATTAAGAAACAAAAATAATATAAACGAAACTATCTTCGTATCGTAAAATGAATGCAATAAATAAAAACAAAGAACCTCGAAAGCTTGAAACTGATCCAAAAACATGAATAAGCTCGGTAAAAGCAAACTTTTCACAATCAGTAAACTCCTCATACAATGAACGGTAATAGTTTCGTAGAAATTTAACAAGTTGCCGAACTTGGCAAAGCTTCCAGTAAGCCTGATTTCAGACGTGCTTTTTTGGGTTATCGACATGGAAACTGAGAAATAAATTAAAGCTCACTAAAAGCATCGGATAAAGTTCTTTACTATTGTTTCTCTTTTGGCTTTCATGGAATTTACAAAGCTGTGTTATAATCCTGTTCCAGTTTATCTACGGGGATTTATGAATGTATTAATAATATATATATTTTTTTAATTTGGAATTTTAAAATCATCCTACACTCTCCGTCTAGTGATAAGATTGGATACGTATACTTATATTAGAGCTCCATAGTGACGTAGATGGTATCAAACAATTGTTTTCAGTCAACGTTTGTAGATAGCCACCCCGAATAGTTGCACGAGTTTTAAGAAACTTTCCCCAAACCGACCATTTTCACTCTCTTCTTACACAATTTGATTACATCTGAGTTGGTAACAATTGGATAAGGATCTGGGCATGTTTGGGTTTACAACAACTGTAAGGGCAAAATGTTTGTTGCTAAATTCAAACTCAGTCAAACAAAACTAATCTCTGAGGGGGATGTGCTTGATTTTATTGAAATTGTTAGATTTCGGTTGCAGGACTTCATCGGAAACTGGATCCTTGTTCACGGTTTGCAGTTTATTTAAAATAAAATGACAGCTATATCATAAGCAAATCACAAATCTGATTTGTTTTTAGTGATCTGTGTGCGTGTATATTTTTGGTGCTAGTGTTAGTTACATACAGTGAGGTTTTAAAACGAAAGGAGTATTTGCCGTAGTTTGGGAAACGATGCAGATATCCAAATGTAATATGCGGATGTCAGTTTCCATCTTCATATTAAGTACACGCCTAAATAGCGCCGTAGCTAATTCATGAAAAACTTGGAAAAAAATTAATTCATCCACAAACACAGAAGTTACGAAAATAATAGAATTCTCCGTCCAAAGTAAAAAAAAGATAGTATATGTTCGTTCCACTTGGAAATTTAATAGTGAATAGCGGTTGTATATGTGAAGGTTAGTAATGACGTCATCTCCCGAATTTTACGCCGACGCAACTCCCACACTGAACGGATTAAATTTGAGAACGGACTTATGTATTTCAAATGCTATAAAGCAACAGCCCTGCTATGCGCTTACTTACCCAATATGTTAATTTCAAAAGAATTTAAAAATAACGTTTAATTATAAGCATTTCAATAAGGTATCACATTGTCATGTGACTTTAATTTGTACAGATGATGTGATATCTATGGGCTCCGCTGAAAGATCGGGCGGATGGTCAGCTTCTCTGCCCATATAATATAATGGTTGAAAATAAGAGTATTATCTTTCGAATAACAACAGAGATTATTAGGTCATCAAATAAGATATCTCTTTGTATTCCAACCGTAAATTGAATTTAATCTTAAAATAACTTCACCGCAAACAAATAATGTAGTAATGAAATTAGTAATGCGGCTTTGTCGGAGCAAATTCAAAGATTGCAAACAATGCCTTTGCTCAAGTTATTTTTCTGTAAGCTAAAGCTATATACTTGGTCGTTGAAGTTTGGCACAGATTCGTTTATTTTTTTTAATTTCAAGGATTTTTGATTCGAGACACACCATTTTTTAACATACTCAGCATGTAAAAAAAAATAATTTTGTATTAGTAAAATAAGCCACTGTTATGTGTAAGATTTCTGGGAAAGCTTTTTATTTGCTAAAACGATTTGATTTTAAACCTGAAGTCCATAGACAGTAAAAAGTGATAGACATAGGCGTCCCTTGATGGTTTTGTGGCAGAGATAAACAGAGTAGTGGTAAATCTCCTTATGAGCTTACAAGCGTGCCTTACGATATGTTCTTAATTTGTTGTGAATTAGATTAGTCAATTAGATTACAAAACGTGTCGATGCATTTACATCGCATGGATTTTACTATTGCTGTGATGGGTCGATTAGTTCACAAGCCGATATTAAAAGGTTACGGAGCTCATGGATATAGCAACGAAAAGACCGCATCCACCTTGTGATGTAGCGTTAAAGACTCAATAAGATGTAATGAGTGTCTTAATTATCAAAGTGGACCGTTTGAATGCTGCGGGAGAAATAGGCAGGAGAGTGGTACCTACCACTGCGAACTCGCAATACCTCAAGTGGACAATAAGGGGCTGTAAATTGTGATGTACTGGTATAGCACCCAGTGGATGCTGCTGCCTTTGCTGCTGCATTCTCTTGCGAATCCGTTTACCTTTTGCGACAACCTCAAAGGTCATAACTTGACGTGTGACAGATATTTTTTTATTACTTAGATGGGTGGACGAGCTCACGTTGGCAACGGCCCACAAATGCATCAGTACAAAACTGAATACATATTCGATCAGTCCCATAAAAAGCCATATGGAGCTCAGTCTGTACAAGTAAAAAAAAGGAATGTAGAAAGGCAAGTTTAACTTAGACCTGAATTTTCTTGAGGCGACATCTATTATGACCTTATGCCTGAATATGGGTGGTAGATTTGAGGTCTGTGGATCCAATAAGGCCTTAATACAAATTTGGCCATGAGTTCCTTTAATAAGAATGTACAATGAAAAAAGACGAACCTATACTTCTTCGATTTATACGAGTAGTAGGCATACATCGAATTGTTGATGCTAATAATAAATAAAACGGACCGTTAATTACAAAATTAAACGTCGCGTATTCAACTTCATCAGATGATGATTTTTTTATAACGCCCTCTTGTGTTGCTCTCAATTAAGAAAAATAGTATTATTATTCGTCAATAGATGTCGGGAAGAGTCATACAGATGATTATCGATAAAGTTGATTATTGAAAACACGAATAAAACAACATTTTTTGAAAATAAATCGTAACTAGATCGATTTATCGCCCCCGAAAACCCCTGTATACTAAATTTTATGAAAATCGTGTGAGCCGTTTCCGAGATTCAGATTACATATATATATATATATACAAGAATTGCTCGTTTAAAGGTATAAGATATTAAATGTTTTATCCGTTCAATTAGTTATTCTTTCGAGCATCGTGGAATCACATTTCACACAGACGAATAAACACACCGACGAATCCAAAGAAAGGCTTTACGTATTAAAAAAACGCCCTGCGAATACTTGCTGAACTTAAAAGAGCAAACATGCCGAGACGAATACTGAATGGTAATACGTAATATATGAGGCGGCCTATTGCTATGCTGTTGTTTTATTAAAAAGCCCTTACTTAGACGTGTCCATAATAAATTCAACATCTTAGACACGGATAAGAACACGCTAGTCTACTATACTTTCAGACCAGCCTATTTATTAATTTGAAAATAGTTTGAAAAGTCAGGAAGCAATAGCATACAGTCATAGCAATTTATACTTCGAAGGTTAGCTTTTGTCACAAGGGATCACGTTCTACGAGCTTCGGTAGCCACTGACCAAATTTTTTTATAGGCATCCATTGATGCCTATAAAATACCTATCACCATTGTGATCCTGGTCTAATCATGAACTTTGTCAATATCAGAGAAACAGTTAGGCCACAGCTTAATCTTTCCGACGCTTTGTTTGAATTTCATTGCCATACTCATACCGTCCAGGCAGATGGTGCGCGAAAAAAATATCTCTGGAAACGAACTGCAGCAGATTGGGATAGCAAGGATGAGCTCGGCCTCTATATGCCCTAGTGCAGCTTCGCCATGCCCTAACCGAACTAATTTGCTGTATTCATTTATTTGAACTCTTATTATTCATTTATTGAACCACGCCACACTTAGATAATTTATATTATCTTACCCTTTATACCCTATATCCCGTCGAATCTAAGACATTAAAATTCGTCTAGAGGTTTAGGCTGTAGCTCGCCAAAGAATTAGACATACACACGCATGCATACATAAGCTCGGAGGGTATTACCCTGATTTTTCGGCATTCGAATAAAAAGGAAATGATGGGATCACATGTGAATAACCCAGTTGCACATTAGNATAATTTATATTATCTTACCCTTTATACCCTATATCCCGTCGAATCTAAGACATTAAAATTCGTCTAGAGGTTTAGGCTGTAGCTCGCCAAAGAATTAGACATACACACGCATGCATACATAAGCTCGGAGGGTATTACCCTGATTTTTCGGCATTCGAATAAAAAGGAAATGATGGGATCACATGTGAATAACCCAGTTGCACATTAGAATAAGGAATCGACTGTAGTGGTTCGTTATGTTGAACAGCGTTAATCGGAGTTAATTTGGAGTAAAATTCTTGGAAAGTTGGTATAGAAGACTTTTTAACTGTAACTAGTTCGGTGTAATCTAAGAAAAGCGTCATGCAACAACTTTTTATTTAAATTTGAGGCCTACCAGCAAGACATGGGTCCTCCTTGGATGCGTCATCGACAAATCGAGACTTACCTGGAAACAAAAAACTTTATTTCGAAAATAATTCAAAATTTGGTACATTTAGGCTTTTGAAGTCGCATAATTATAAGGGCTATTTAATCTTGGGCCTCAATTTGAAAAAAAAAAACATTTACCTCGTGATATCTATGGGCTCATATAATAACCAAACACCAGTTGGGACGTCAGCTATTGCGCTCTTTGTAATAAAAAAGTCATGTTATTTATGTGAACGTTTTCATGGATTATTTACATTATAATATTTCAGTACATACATCAATTGCACTAGTCACAGTTGATAAAACATTTCGTGATGATACTAAGAACAAATATTCAAGGTACATTTTTTACGTTTGGTCATCTTCATTTGAAAACTCGGAACCTTTGTATTAATATCCTTACTGCCTTAAAAGTACACACTAAATTAGCTCATCTCGAGAGTACTATATTTTTTAATGAAAATCGTTTTACCCGTTCTAATAAGTACATTATTCGCAAAAAGGATTTCATAAAGATTTTATATATCTAAGCGGAACGATTGTCGCGGAACTTGTGTGCTTTATGATGCATTATAAAAATTAATCGAATATATGAAAAACTATCAAAGCTATTTTACTTGTGTGTTCTATATCACCAGACTTAGTTAATATCTTCAAAGAAGAAACGATGTGATACGTACATATGTATATCCTATCTCAAAGGGCATACCTACTAAGCGGATAACTGCTTTGTAGACAATAGGAATGTTGTTCAGAAATTGTGTTACGAATAACATTCTTGAGATTATTTCAAGGTTTATGTTATTGCACTTAAGGCATCATGTGAGCCCGCAGCGGTAGCTGATTAGCGAATCTGTTTAAACCATTGTTTATATTTGCTGGCTTCGATATTCGAATAGGTTCCGGTCTGCCGGTCTTATAAATAATAATGATAATAATGTTATTCAATCCTCTTAAAATACAAACACGTACAAGAATTTATAACACTAGTATAATGGTGTACATGGCTTTTTATCAGGTACAGAATAACAATATTCCGTGACTTTTATGTTAGGAAAAGCAGTGTTGTGAAAGTCAGTAGTTCAGTGCTAGGACACCAGGTAAAGTAAGTTAACCAGGAAGAGTGATCTGTAAGAATGTAGTACATACTGTTTACGTACGTAAATGTTTATCAGTTTAGTAATAACCTGCAAGGGAGGATTCATACCAAAATAAATATCTTTAAGTATAGCAGTAAAGCGTTTCGGTTCGAAGGGTGGGGTAGCCGTTGTAACTATACTGAGACCTTAGAACTTATATCTCAAGGTGGGTGGCGCATTTACGTTGTAGATGTCTATGGGCTCCAGTAACCACTTAACATCAGGTGGGCTGTGAGCTCGTCCATCAATCTAAGCAATAAAAAAAAAAGGTACGGCATGATCAAAGAACTTTGGTCTTAATTAGCATCTAGAATGAGATTTCGGAATGGATTTCAGGTTCGGGATTGAAAAATAAGGAGATGTTTTATTGATAGGCGGATGGACAAGCTGGTGTTATGTGGTTTTACTGGAGCCATAGACTTCAACAACGTAAATACCGCGACATGCCTTGAGATATGAGTTTCAAAGTATCAGTTTTTACAGTACAACGGCTGCCCCACCCTTCAAACCGAAACGCATTTCTTCTTCACGGCAGAAATAGGCAGAGTGGTGATAGCTACTCGTGCGGACCCACCACTGCAGTAATTACACAAATTATTTATAAATTATAATTTTTGCGGGTTTGTTTTTGATTACAAGATATTTTTTTTATTGCCTAGGTGTGTGGACGTGCTCACAGCCCACCTGGTGTTAAGTGGTTACTGGAACTCATAGACATCTACAATGTAAATACGGCGACATGCCTTGAGATATGAGTTTCAAAGTATCAGTTTTTACAGTACAAGGGCTGCTCCACCATTCAAACCGAAACGCATTTCTTCTTCACGGCAGAAATAGACAGGATGATGGTAGCTATTCGTGCGGACCCACCACTGGAAGCAGTAGTTACACAAATTATTTATAAATTATAATTTTTGGGGGTTTGTTTTTGATTACAAGATTATATTCCTCAATCGTGAACATTCGTCAAGCACGTACATATTTCATCAGTAAAATTGGTACCTAATTGCGGGATTCGAACATCGGCACAGTTACATCGCTTGATAAGAAGCTCTCGGGGCTCAAACCAGGAGGCATTGCTAACACTGGCCCTAGCAAGAGCAGTGCTTCGCAGAACCTACCACCGGATCGGAAACGCGACCCCCTGAGAAGATCCGGCGAGAAACTCAGTGGGCTTCAAAAGATACGATTAAGAATGAGATTATATAGTTATATCAGTGAAACAGCCGAAAGTAATAGAAACTTTACAAAATCTTGTCTCATCATTTACAATGTAAAACTCCAAGACATTTTTCGTCACAAAACACTTTTGACTACACTTGACACTTTTCACCAGCTCCGTTGGCTTGGTAATCGATGAGCTGTCAATTTGTTACGAGCTGCGGGAAGCTACAAGATTATTTTTTACTGGTTCCAAAGTTTTCATTGAACGAAAATTTGTTTTGGCTGTTATGGGAAGAGATTTTGTAAAGTCAACAGAACTTTTCTTCGTTTATTTTTCTTCGTTTTCCCTTAGAAATCCAAATATAAGATGGATCCCTATTTACATATTATTATGTATGTATTTACATATACAATATGAACATAATTCTCACGATCAATACGTGTGAGCTTTATCTTAAATAGGAGATGCAAATAGGAAAAACTATTTTTTAACAACAGGCTTGTGGGCCCGGGAATTGAAATAAAGAAGACATTTTAATTATTCCATTCCTGTATTTTACTAATGTCAACTACTAAGGACTTTTCAAGCATTAAACAAAAATTCACAATAGACTAAATTAGTTGTATATAAAAATATTTTTATTATTATATATACATAAAAAGTTTTTTTGTGATTTGCATTGGGTATATTCTATAAATAACGATCGGAAATCAATTTTACGTAACTTTAACATGTAACTTAACCATAATTTTATCAGATAATGGCTGTATTATCTATCCAAATAGGCACTTTCAATTTTACGATAACATGGCCGCAATACCGCAATTATTACGCATTAAGTTAATCTTCACTGAACAGTTGTTAATAAAACATATTTATTGTGCATAAATTTGTATTTTGGACTATAAGAGATAAATATCATTAAAACAGCGATATGTTAATGAGGGGGTTTGATATTTGGAATTGATTGACATTTTGAAATTCGACCATTTGCATTTGAGCTCTGGCTTTATATCAATATAAGATATGTTAATTAATTTACTCAGCCCACTCAGTTTCTCGCCAGATCTTCTCAGTGGGTCGCGTTTCCGATCCGGTGGTAGATTCCGCGAAGCACGGCTCTTGCTAGGGTTGGTGTTAGAAACGTCGTCAGGTTTGAGTCTCGTGAGCTCACCTACTACTTAAGGTTACGCTGATATGGTCTTTCTAGACCATCAGATTAGATAGAAAAAAAAAAGATGATGATGATAAACGAATGATGCAGTATGACGTTTTGTGAACCCGCCGGGTGGACCGTGCGTTGCCAATTTTAGCCGTGAAGCGAATCCAGTTCAAAAGGCGAGATAGCCGTTACACAATTCAACGAAGACTTACGTCTAAAAGTCAGTATCAGGATTTGCGTTGTATGTGTCAATGAGCTCAGATGAGGTTCCTAGTGGGCCGTAAACTTGTTCATCCGTCTAAGTACCTAATAAAAAAAATGTAGTCTTAACGCACTTATCGTTATCAATATAACTTATGAATATTGTGTTCCTTTTAGGAATATAGATTTAATTTATGTATTTATTGTTAGGATAATTTTCATATTGTAGCATTTGTTATATATTTAAAATAATATGAATATTGCATAGCTATTGCATAGCTTTATCGAGGGTTTTGAGTGCTCAGACCGAATCAAGAAATTCCGTAACGAAAATAAAACCTAATACCCCCCAATCCGCCTACCATGTAGCTCGCGCTCAATACATTCCCACGTTGCGCTTGTGTAGTGTTTGTGAATAAGCGCGCGGCGTGACGTCGCACTGCATGCGCATCACGAAAACTCTGGCCATCTCTCTCTCGCGTGGTCTAGCTTATGAGTGTGAAGGGGACAGTTAATGTTTTGCTTTTGTTAATGTTTATAAATATAGCGTGGTCTTATTTTATTATTGTTTTAATATTATTGTCGAATTATAATTGCATAAGTTGATAAAAAATGCTATGCTTTGCCGTGGCAGTCCTGAGTGCCACACATGTTTTTTTTTATATTATTTATTTATTTGAAACGACTATGAGCTAAAATTGGGAAAAAAATCCCAACTTTTATGCGAACCAATATTTTTTCAGCCAAACATTACCTCCTCGAGGCTCGTCCCAACACTTTTCTATCGGTACAGAATGGAATATCGTGCCTCTCATACTAACAGTAACTCACATCTACTATAACTCTTAGCGTAAAATTATTGAGGGAGGAAAAAGGCCGGGCACAAACTAACCGTACCCAAAAAGGCAATTTCAGTAACAATCACGAAAAAATAATGATATTACTCTATAAAATTTCGACGTGGGATAAGGGTTTCCGTACACGTTCAGTACCGGTGGAATGCAAAGTTGTAACGCTACCCGAATGTCACGTATTTGGAGTGGAATCCAATTTACTGTGAAACCTTACTTGGGATAGGTGGAACTGAGAAACAAACGCGGTAAATGTGTGACCAGTTTTTGCGGCATAAATAAAGCAATTCGAAGTATATTTCGAACGTTTCACTGAAAATCTTAATTATTTGATTGTCCAGAAGAAGATATGTCCAAAATAACTAGCATGATTACAATCTGAGTAGCTAATCACCAGTAGAACGGGTATGCGAGCCTGGCTAACTTATGGATCATCATCAATCCTCTCATCATCAATCTTCACAAAAAATCATTAAATTCTAGATAGATAGTTCTTCT